TGTGGGCTTGAACTCATGACTCTGAGATTTGTTTGCTCTATAAACTGAGCCAGCCAGGCATCCCCCCCCATTTTTTTTAGATTTTATTTATTTTTTGAAAGATTTTATTTATATGAGAGAGAGAAGAGAGCGCATGTGCAAGTGAGGGAGCACAAGTGGGGTGAGGGGCAGAGGGAGAAGCAGACTCTCTGCTGAGCAGGGAGCCCTGTGAGGGGCTTGACCCCGGGACCCCAGGAGCATGATCTGAGCCGAAGACAGATGTTTAACTGACTGAACCACCCATGCACCCCTAGGTTTTATGTTTAAGTAATTACTGCACTCATTGTGGGGCTGGAACCCATAGCCCCAAGATCAAGAGTCACATGCTCTACTGATTGAGCCAGCCAGTTGTCCCACTTGGTATTTTTGCCGAGTGTAGAATTTGGGCTTGGAAATGAAACTTTTAAGGCATTGCTGCATTGTTTTTAAAAATTGAGGTAAAATATACAAAATAAAATTTGCTCTTTTAACAGCTTTAAAGTGTACATTTCCCTGGAATTAAGTACATTCAGATGGTTTTGTGATCAGCACTACCATCTTTCTTTAGAACTTTTTATCTTCCCAGAAATTTCAAAACCATTAAGCAGAACTCCCCAGTCCCTCCAACTCTCAGCCCCTGGTGACCACTTTCAGATTTGACTATGAATTTTTAAAAAGATTTATTTATTTAATTTGTTTTTAATAGATTTTATTTATTTATTTGAAAGAGAAAGAGCACAAGCAGGGGAAGGGCAGAGTGGAGAGGGAGAAGCAGGCTCCCCACTGAGCAGAGAGCCCAATGTGGGGCTCGATCCCAGCACCTTCGGGTCATCAGCTGAAGGCAGATGCTTAACTGACTTGAGCCATACAGGTTCCCCTAAGATTTATTTATTTGAGAGAGAGACAAGGGGGGGGTACAAGGGGGGCACAGGGAGAGGAGAGAGAATCCCAAGCAGACTCCGCATTGAGTGCAGAACCTGAATCTTAGGGTCCTGAGATCACAACCTGAGCCAAAACCAAGAGCTGGACACCTAACCGACTGTGCCACCCAGGTGCTCCTTGACTATGAATTTGACTTATTGTAGGGGCGCCTAGGGGCACAGTTGGTTAAGTGTACGAAACTTGGTTTCGGCTTAAGTCAGGATCCTAAGGGTCGTACTCAGTGTGGTATCTGCTTGAGACTCTCCCTCTCCTCTACCCTTCCTCAATGCTCACTCTCACTCGTGCTCTTTCTCTCTCTCATAAATAAATCTTTGAATTTGACTATTGTTCGTAACTCATATAAGTAGAGTCATGGAGTATTTGTCCTTTTGTGACTGGCTTATTTTACTTAGCATAATGCTCCTGGTTCATCCATATGTAGCATGTGTCAGAATTTTCTTCTTTTTTGGGACACCTGGCTGGTTCAGCCTGTGGATCTCCCAAGTCATGAGTTCAAGCCCCATGTTAGGTGTAGAGCCTACTAAAAAAAAAAAAAAAAAAAAAAATTTCTCCCCCCCCCCTTTTTAAAAGATTTTATTTATTCATGAGAGATGCGGGTGGGGGGGCTGGTGCAGAGGGAGAAGCAGGCTCCCAAGGAGCAGGGAGCCCGATGCAGGACTTGATCCCAGGACCTTGGAATCATGATCTGAGCTGAAGGCATATGCTTAACCAACTGAGCCCCCCAGGCGCCCAAATTTTCTTCCTTCTCAAGGCTGAATAATAGGGGTGCCTGGCTGGCTCAGTTGGTGGAACATGTGACTCTTGATCTCAGGGTTGTGAGTTCAAGCCCCACATAAAAACTAAAAAATAGGGGCACCTGGGTGGCTCAGTCGTTGGTTGTCTGCCTTTGGCTCAGGTCATGATCCTAGGGTCCTAGGATCGAGCCCCGCATCGGGCTCCCTGCTCCGCGGGAAGCCTGTTTCTCCCTCTCCCTCTCCCTCTCCCCTTGCTTGTGATCCTGCTCTTGCTGTGTCTCTCTCTGTCAAATAAATAAATAAAATCTTAAAAAAAAAAAAAACTAAACTAAAAAATAAAAATAAAAAACCCCAGAATATTACTCAGCCTCTTATGTATATGCTACATTTTGCTTATCCATTTATCTCTTGGTAGAAACTTGGGTTGCTTTCACTTTTTAGCTATTGGGTATAATAGTGCTATAAACATGGGTATACAAATACCTCATTGACACCCCACTTTCAGTTTTTTTTTTTTTGTATATACTCAGAAGTGGAATTGCTGAATGAGATAGTATTTTTTTTTTTTTGAGGTAGCTATACTGTTTTCCGTACTGGCTGTTCCATTTTACATTTCCACTAGCAGTATACAAGGGTTACAGTTTCTCTGCATCCTGTCCAAAATTTAATTCCTGTTTTTATTTTTATTGATTGGTTTTTAAGGATTTTATTATAGAGAGTGTGAGAGAGAGAGAGATCATGAGCAGGGGTGAGGGGTAGAGGGAGAAGCAGACTTCCCAGTGAGCAGGGAGCCTGGGATCATGACCCAAGCTAAGGCAGATGCTTAACCTACTGAGCCTCCCAGGCACCCTATTTATTTTTTTAAAGATTTTATTTATTTGAGAGAGAGAACATGAGTTGGGGGGGAGGGGCAGAGGGGGAGAGAAGCAGACTCCCTGCGGAGCAGAAAGCCAGATGGCGGGGCTCCATCCCAGGACCCCTAGATCATGAAGGCAGACGCCCAGCTGACTGAGCCACCCAGGTACCCCTAATTTCTATTTTTAATTCTTACTGTAGAGCGCGCCTGAGTGGCTCAGTCGTTAAGCATCTGCCTTTGGCTCAGGTCATGATCCCAGGGACCTGGGATCCAGCCCCGCATCGGGCTCCCTACTAGGCGGGAAGCCTGCTTCTCCCTCTCCCTCTGTCTCTCCCCCATTCATGCTCTGTTTGTCTCTCTGTATCTTTGTGTCTCAAATGAATAAATAAAATCTTAAAAAAAAAGCAGTGGTAAAATAAATACTGGTTAAGAACAATTGGTGATGTTTGAGATTTTTGTTTAGAATTGCTATAATCATAAACCATAGACTTTTATTTCTTTATTTTTAAGATTTTATTTTTATTTTTCTACTGTTTTTTAAAGATTTTATTTACTTATTTGACAGAGAGAGAGAGACAGCGAGAGAGGGAACACAAGCAGGGGGAGTGGGAGAGGGAGAAGCAGGCTTCCTGTGGAGCAGGGAGCCTGAAGCGGGGCTCGATCCCAAGGCCCTGGGATCATGACCTGAGCCGAAGGCAGATGTTTAATGACTAAGCCACCCAGGTGCCCCTATTTTTTAAAGATTTTATTTGTTTTTTCATGAGATACACAGAGAGAGGCAGAGGCAGAGAGAAGCAGGCTCCCTGTGGAGCAGGGAGGCCATTGTGGAACTCGATCCCAGGACCCTGGGATCATGACCTGAGCCAAAGGCAGATGCTTAACTGACTGAGCCACCCAGGCACCCTTTTAATTTTATTTTTTAAAGAGATTTATTTTAGAGCGCAAGTGAGAGTGTGGGTGTGGAGGAGGGGGGAAGAGAGAGTTTTAAGCAGACTGTGTGCTGAGCATAAAGTCCCACATGGGGCTCAATCTCACGACCCTGAGATCACGACCTGAACTAAAATAAAAACCCAGGTGCCCCTAAGATTTTATTTTATTTTTTATTTTTTACTATTTATTTATTTTTTTTTTAAAAGATTTTATTTATTTATTTGCGAGAGAGAGAATGAGAGACAGAGAGCATGAGAAGGAGGAAGGTCAGAGGGAGAAGCAGACTCCCTGCTGAGCAGGGAGCCTGATGCGGGACTCGATCCCAGGACTCCAGGATCATGACCTGAGCCAAAGGCAGTCGCCCAACCAACTGAGCCACCCAGGCACCCTATTTTTTATTTTTAAAGATTTTATTTATTTATTTGCGAGAGAGAGAAAGAGAGAGAGCACAAGCCATGAGGCGGGTGGGAGGGGGGAGAGGCAGAGGGAGAAGCAGACTCCCTGCAGAGCAGGGAGCCCGATGTGGGACTCGATCCTGGGACTCCAGGATCATGAACTGAGCCAAAAGCAGTTGCTTAACCAACTGAGCCACCCAATCGCCCCAAGATTTTATTTCTTGTTTTTATTTGAGAGAGAGAGAGAGCATGAGCTAGGGGAGAGGCAGACTTCCCACTGTGTAGGGAGCCTGATGGCAGGTCTTGATCCCAGGACCCTGAGATCATGACCTGAGCCGAAGGCAGACACTTAACTGACTGAGTCACCCAGGCACCCGTAAGATACTATTTTTAAGTAATCTTTTTTTTTTTTTTTTTAAGATTTTATTTATTTATTTGACAGAGAGAGACACAGTGAGAGAGGAACGCAAGCAGGGGGAGTGGAAGAGGGAGAAGCAGGCCTCCCGCTGAGCAGGGAGCCTGGTGCGGGGCTTGATCCCAGGACGCTGGGATCATGACCTGAGCCGAAGGCAGACGCCCAACGACTGAGCCACCCAGGCGCCCCTATTTTTAAGTAATCTATGCACCCAGTATCGGACTCGAACTCATAACCCTGAGATCAAGAGTTGTACACTCCACTGTCTGAGTCAGCCAGGTGCCCCAACCATAGACTTTTAGATTGCATTAGTAAAATTGGCTTAATTGTTACTAGGAAAATGTAAAATCCTAATGGGTTGTTTCTTGAGAATTGTGGTGCTTTGTTTTGTTTTTTAAGCTTTTATTTATTTATTTGAGAGAAAAAGAGCATGCACAGGGGTAGAGGCAGAGGGGGAGAGAGAGGGAGAAGCAGACTCCCCGATGAGCAGGGAGCCTGAAGTGGGGCTCGATCCCAGGACCCTGGGATCATGACTTGAGCCGAAGGCAGGAGCTTAACCCACTGAACCACCCAGGTGCCCCGAGAATTTGTGTTTTGGAGACCTATTATGTTTTGTCTCGTGTTTTCTCCTTATTCCTGAATTTTATTCTTATCTTATACTATGATTTGGAAGTTTTGCTTACTACCATGCCTGCTTTCTTGCAGATTTTCTATTTTGTACATACGTTATTTTGTATATACTGTATATGATGACTTCGGTGAGCAGTGACCGTTCCCGAGGTGCTCGGGAAAAAACACAAACTTCAGCGACACAGGCATCACAACTACAGAAACAAGTAGTACAGGTAAGTTTTTGTGGAACTCTTGTGTAGAGTTATGTTAATTAGGGAGCACATACTCTCCTTTGTTGGATACCTTAGGATTTTGAATCTTGTTTTTATTCATTTTTTTTTTTTTTTAAGATTTTATTTGTTAGAGAATGAGAGTGAGAGCATGAAGGGGGAGGGTCAGAGGGAGAAGCAGACTTCCCGCCCAGCAGTGAGCCCGATGCGGGACTTGATCCTGGGACTCCAGTATCATGACCTGAGCCGAAGGCAGAGACTTAACTGACTGAGCCACCCAGGTGCCCCCCAAATCGAGCATTTTATACACGTTTTTGACTAGATTTGCAAACCCTTTTTCAGAGGCCCATCATAAATTTCAGATTGACGATTTGATTATACTTTGACAGCTAATACAAGTACTTTTTTATAATCAGTCATAACCAAGTGCCCTGTTGATGTTAAGGGAGTAAGGGAGACAGAGAGAGTAGACTCTATTGTTGCTTTACATTTTTCTGTATAAGGTTAGCCTTAAATTTTGCTTCTATCAATAGACTTAAAACTCTGCTGTTCAGGGTGCCTGGGTGGCTCAGTTGGTTAAGCGACTGCCTTCGGCTCAGGTCATGATCCTGGAGTTCCAGGATTGAGTCCCGCATCAGGCTCCCTGCTCGGCAGGGAGTCTGCTTCTCCCTCTCCCACTCCCCGTTTGTGTTCCCTCTCTCGCTGTGTCTTTCTCTGTCAAATAAATAAATAAAATCTTTAAAAAAAAAAAACAACTCTGCTGTTCAGTGCTTGTTCCTAAATACATTTACCCTGATAATTATTCACAACTGATATGAAAGACTACCTCTTGTTGGAAAAATTTTGACTTTTTATACTAGACCCTCCTTTTGTAGGTGAATGCTTAAGAGGCTATTCATGAAACTTTTTTTTTTTTTTTTAAGATTTTATTTATTTATTTGACAGAGAGACACAGCGAGAGAGGGAACACAAGAGGGGGAGTGGGAGAGGGAGAAGCAGGCTTCCTGTGGAGCAGGGAGCCCGATGCGGGGCTCGATCCCAGGATCCTGGGATCATGACCTGAGCCTAAGGCAGACGCTTAATGACTGAGCCACCCAGGTGCCCCATTCATGAAACATTTTCTTATCAAAGAAGAAATACAATTTATGAATAATCATAGGTGCAACCCTGTTTATAATCAAATATAAAATAAAACAACATTTTGTTGTTGTTCATCCAGTCAGTCAAGATTAAAAGTGTAATCTTTTAGGGGTGCCTGGCTGGCTCAGTCAGTGGAGCGTGCGACTCTTGATCTCACATTGTAAGTTTAAGCACCACATTGGGTGTAGAGTTTACCTCAGAATAAAATCTTTTTTTTTAAGTGTAATCTTTTAGGGTTGCTGGGTGGCTCAGTTGGTTAAGCGTCTGCCTTTGGCTCGGGTCATGATCCCAGGGTTCTGGGGTGGAGCCCACCATTGGCCTCCCTGCTCAGTGGGGAGCCTGCTTCTCCCTCTTGCCCCTGCTTATTCTCTCTCTCTCAAATAAATAAGTAACATCTTTTAAAAAAACTAAAAAAGAAAAAAAGTGTAATCTTTTAAAGAGGGCCAAATGAAATGTTGGGAATGTAAATTGTTTCTGTCTCCCACCCAAGTAGAGTCCTTGGGCTGATTTCCAGTGAATCAGTCTCCAGACTGGAGGAGGGAGGGCTCTCTTCCTCCCAAGGGTTGTTGTCACTAATAGTTTTCCATGGGCACTTTGGGGATGGCTCATTTTATTTAAGTAGATGAAAAACTGCCCACTGAGCTGTGGGAAGGATTCTTAGACCTTTACATTCCTAGTTTTCCTTTTTAAAAAAGTATGGTGAGAATTTCTCAGAAAAGCAGTATGAATAACATTGTTCATGTTCATTTATGCATGAATCCCATTCTAGGAAGTATTTCCTAAGGAAGCAACCTTAAACTGGGGGTGGGGGTAGCGCTTTATTCTGTAAGATGTTTTTTGCCCAGTTCTAAATGTCCAAAGGTAGGTTATCTCAGAACACCTCTATCAAAGCAGAGGGATGTAAGAGAGAAGACCATTAACTCTTAGATTCTGAATAAAGTGGGTCTGTCACTTTACCAACTAGATGAATTACTTAAGTCTTTTTGAACCTCACTTAAAAAGAAAAAAACCCAAAAAACATGCTTTGAGATTTAAATAAGAATAGTATACATAATTCCTGAATATCCTTCATCCAGATCTCCCAAATATTAACATTTTTACCATGTTTATATTTTTCTCCTTCCTCCAAAAAAGAAACTACATACAGTTTTTCCCCACAGCCTTTTGAGAGTAAGTTGTAGATGTGGTAAATACCACATCTGAGTACTTCAGTATGTTATTTGTCAAAGACATAATTACAGAACAGTTATTAAAAAATCAGGAAATCAACTCATGTAATCTACGGACTATATTACTGTAGTCCCAGTTGTCTCAATAATGTCCTTTTTTTAGCTAATTAAGTCCTTTATCATACATTGTATTCAGATGTCCGTTCTTTTAATTTTTTTTTTTTTTAAAGATTTTATTTATTTGAGAGAGAGAGACACAGCCAGAGCAGGAACACAAGCAGGGGAAGTGGGAGAGGGAGAAGCAGGCTTCCCGCGGAGCAGGGAGCCCGATGCGGGGCTTGATCCCAGGACCCTGGGATTATGACCTGAGCCGAAGGCAGACGCTTAATGACTGAGCCACCCAGGCGCCCCTCTTCAGTCATTTTTAATGTGGAACTTCGTTTCCTCTGGTTCATAACATTGACCCATTTGAAGAATATAGGGCAGTTACTTTGTAGAATAACTATCAGTTTTAGTTTGTCTGAGATACTCAGAATTATGCATTTTTGAAGATTTATTTATTTTATTATTTTTTTAAGATTTATTTATTATTTGAGAGAGAGTGCGCAGAAGTAGGGGGTAGGAGCAGAGTGAGAAGCAGACTCTCCGCTGAGCAGAGAGCCAGATTCGAGACTCGATCCCTGGGTTCTAGGATCACAACGCGGAGCTAAAGGTAGACACTTAACCGACTGAGTCACCCAGGCACCCCAGAACTCCAGATTTTTAAAATGTGACATGGAGGGGTGCCTGGGTGGCTCAGTCGGTTGAACGTCTGCCTTTGCTTTGGGTCCTGGGATCCACAGAGGTGGGCTCCCTGCTCAGCGGGGAGTCTGCTTCTCCCCTCTCCCTCTGCCCCTCCACCTGCTGCTTTCTCTCCCTCCCTCCCTCTCTCTCTCTCATAAATAAATAAAAGTGACTTTTCAGGATGGTTGTAAGGAATTAGAAATGGTGTAGGTTGTATTCAGGAATTGTTAACCTTTACTCATTGTATATTCCACATAAGTTATGAAGTGATTATAATACCGTTTGAAATTATGTTGGAAAATGCCTGGTTCCTGATCAACTGAGACAGGACCCAAAATTATAGTATAGAACGACTGTTAAAACAAGAAAAAAAAAAGACAAGTAGACTATGTTAATAATGTTTATCTTTGGGTGGTAGGCATAAGGATGATTAAAAAAATCGTACTTCATTATATTTTCCAAATTTTTTCATTGGCAAATACAACAAAAAATATTTGGCTTACGTAGAAAAGTTGTCAATACATTCTTCACTGTGAAAGTAGCTTAGCTCTGGGGCGCCTGGCTGGCTCAGTCATGGAGCATGCAACTCTTGATTTCAAGGTTGTGAGATCAAGCCCTAGGGGGCGTGGAGTTTACCTAAAAAAATTAGGAGGAAAAAAAAGAAGAAAGTAGCTTAGCCTATTATAAGCCAAGTGAATGGAAGTAATGCTGCTTTTCTTGGCAAGACCTGACAGTTGGGTGGTGGATGTCACTAGTGTTTGTCGTAGGGTAGGGTGCAGTCACCTTGTTTAACTTCAAATTATCAGTTGATTTTGCTTTTTCCTCTGATTTTTCAAGTTGTACAGATTTCTTGACATTTCCCAGAGGTTGTCTGACAAGTTTCCTGTCTTAGTTGAATTTATGTTTGGGGTTTTCTTTATCGCATATTTAACGTAATTTTCTTGGCTAGGTTAGTCACCAAAGGTAAAAAATATTTAAAGTTCTGATTTAAAATGCTTTTTATTTCATTAATATGATAGGCTAGTACTGCAGCACTGTAGTTGTTAAACATCTGTTAAATGCATCAGGTCCGCTTTCAGAAGTTATGTCTAAATGGCCCTCTTAGGAAGAATACAGATGATATCACTGAAGAGAAATGCAAAGAATATTTGAGTCTAATACTTAAGCTGAGAAAATTTAGTCTGAATAAATTAGTAATTGGTATTTATCTAATGTATGACTTTACATTTTATTATAATTATTATTATTTTTTTCAAAGATTTATTTACTTGACAGAGAGAGACACAGTGAGAGAGGGAACACAAGCAGGGGGAGTGGGAGAGGGAGAAGCAGGCTTCCCGCCGAGCAGGGAGCCCGATGTGGGTCTCGATCCCAGGGCCCTGGGATCATGACCTGAGCCGAAGGCAGACGCTTAATGACTGAGCCACCCAGGCGCCCCTTTACATTTTATTTTTTATTTTTAGGTATGTATGTGTAATTTTAAAGTAGACTCCACACCCAACATGGGGCTTGAACTCCAGATCCTGAGATCAAGATTTGCATGCTCTACTAACTGAGCCAGCCAGTGGTCCCTTAACTTTACATTTTAGAAATTTGGAGGTGAAACAATATAAAATGAAAATGTAAAAAATATGTGGAAGCCCCAGACTGTTACCTATAGCAAAACGCTATTACTAATAACTATTCTTAAGTGAAAGTCTGTGAATTCAAGTGTTTTCTTGCTAATACTTTGTAAGATAGTTTAATAGAGTCAGGGGAAGCATTTTGTGTGTGTGTGTGTGTGTGTGTGTGTGTGTGTGTAACTAGGTACATTAAGGAATCAAAGGCAGTTCTCAGGCCAGCAAATTTAAATATTGCTGCTTTCAGATCTGTTATTAGTGACTGTCCCCCCCACCCCCCCATTACTTTTAA